CAAGCGATTCTCCTGCCTCAGCCTCCTGAGTAGCTGGAATTACAGGCACCCACCACCACACCCAGCTAATTTTTGTACTTTTAGTAGAGACACGTGTTCCACCATGTTGACCAGGCTGCTAACTCTTGACCACAGGTGATCCGCCTGCCTCGTCCTACCAAAGTGCTCGGATTACAGGCATGAGCAAAAGAGATTTTTAAAAAACATTAATAACATACTCCTAAACACATTTTCAGTTAGATTTATCTTTTCTTTGCCTTGAAACCTTCACAGAGGCAGGGCATTATCAAAAAGGGATGCTTGTTCAGAGGCTATAAGTAACTGCTAAAGATAATGAAGCTAATAGAGAAGCAGAAATTGGAAGAAAATGCCCAATCCGTATACTTCACACCGATGAGAGCAGAAAGAAGGCTGTGGTAAACAGGGAAAAGAAGGTCCATATCTTTACATCTTCATCATCGTATGAGGTCTCAACATTTTGCAATGCATTTAAGGACCATGAAGAGTTCACATCCTGGTTGGATGTGATTCTTCCCCTCTTTGAGCCACTAGCCTGCTCCTCACTCCGTGAGGTCATACCTAACATGATGGTTACTACACACAGATCTTTTCTATTACCTTGGATTATGAACTAATTGAGGACAGGATTGCTGTCTGAATTGTCTTTGTATTTTGTACTACCTCGCCATCCTCATCCTCAGCTATGCCTAATTAAAAAAAAATGGGTTCAAAAGGTGTAGGCAAATGGATTAATGAACAAATAAAGAACAAAATAGTCTTCCCTGGTTTAGAGAAAGCATGTAAACAAGGATACAGTAAAGGAAACAAGAAATTAGAGGTGAAATTAATCAAAATTAGTAATATAGATTTTGAAAATGATTAAAATTAATCAGAGTTCAAAATGATTTAATTTGAATCAGGTGAACTTCTCTGTGTCCTAGGAGTCAAGCGAAAAGTAGTAAGAATCTAAGACAGGGTTGGAGAGGACTATTTGTTTGTCTTGCCCTGTTAGCTACCAGACAGCTGGAGGAAAACACCTTCCTCCACCTTGGGCGTTTCAGTGGTCCTTTTCCTCCTCCTCCCCTTTCTGGATAGAGAGGACCTGAGGATAGAGGGACACATGACATCTGATACTGAGGTGAAACATCAGTGACAGTGGCACCAAGAAGCTGCCCAGGACAGATTGGGCTGCAATCCCTCAAGCAGTACAGAAACAAGCCTTCTCACAGCATTCAGAACAGAAAAAGTAAAACCAATATTCACTTTTGTAAAACATTGTACTTGATGAATCCAACCTGTTTCCAACCTGCATTATTTGGTAAAGAAGATAAGCACATCATAAATATCAATAACACGTGGTAAAAGGTGATGGGCACTAAAAGTTAGATCGAAGCTACCTCAAACTGGCAGAGGGCATTTAGAGATACCTGTGAGGAAGATCTTGGGCTAGGGATGTAAGCTTTCATCCTCTCCAAATGTAGCACAGCCATACAGAGAATGGCAGCATCTGACACCATTTATCTCTCCAGATACCTCTTACTAAGAGATGGACTGCTCAGAGTTCTCATTTCCCACTGTTTCATATCTACAATCTTTCGCTTTTGCTGGTAACTTGGCCTAAAATATCTTTTCCCTCATTCTCTGACTTCCAAAATTTTACTTGTGCTACCATATAGAGCTGAAATGCCATCTTACACATAGCTTTCCTGAAACCTGATAGGAATGAAAAATTGTCTTCTCTGAACTTCCACATTATGTTGCTTTTACCTCTACCTGGTAGTTTTGTTTATATTTTTATTCGGGTGAGCATTTGTCTCTCAAGTCAACTGTAACTCCCTTAAGTTTATTCTTCTTTCTGACCTCAACAGCATCTATCACTGTGCTCTGAACATAGAAATAGTGCTTTATGGGAGAAAAAGCCTGGGCTTTTCAGAGCACAGCATACCTGGATTCTGAACCCAGCTCTGTCATTTCCCATTTGTTGATCTTGGGTATTACCGTAACTTTTTATGCCTTCATTTACCCATCTAGACAGGAACTAATAATATCTTCTCAAGAGGGATGGATAAAGATTAGACATAATAAATGTGAAATGTCTGGCAGAGATTAGAGCATCACTAAATGGTAGCAATCACAACTTTTGCTACAATGATTATAATAAAGAGCTTGTTGGGTAAAGTTATAAAATTACCTAGCGTCCACAGTAACTAGGACAGTGCTGAGTACATGGTGGAAGCTGGTAAATATACCTTGACTCTAGCTTGTGGATGGCAAAGTGTCTATTGTTAATGACCTACCTTGAACTCTTTCTCAATATTGGCCAGCACTGCCAGTTCATTGCTAAGTTCTAAAGCCGTCATGACTGGATCTTCACTAGACAATGACAGGTAAGCTGGACTTGCCAGGCCTTTATAGGCATTAATCCTAGATCTGGAGTGGCTAAATGAGTCATGCTTCTGTTTCTGGTTGCAGTCATTGCACTTGCAGAAATAATCATGAGGCCGTTCAATCCTAGCACCCTTCCTCAGGAGGGTATGCACGATTTCATATTCCTGGCAGTGGGCGGCCAGAATGATTGGAGTCACATCATGGGAGAACCGGGTCCCATCTTCATCATAGGCATAAAAGTCATCTTGCTGGAGTTCCGATTGGCTAGGACTGGTTGCTAACCTCTTGCCTTCAGCAAAAGCTGGATGACTGAGAATCGCTTCCACAATTCGAACATAACCTTTACTAATGGCTAGCAGCAAAGCATCCCCAACCCGAGAGAGGTTTTCTTTCTTCAGAAGTAGTTCTGTAATTTCCAGATGCTCGTTGGCCACTGCCAATTGCAGGGCATTCTGGCCCATGTAATCCACACAGTTAACATTGAGCGAGAGGCATTCTTCTAACATCTTCCGCACCACTGGGATGTTACCATATTCAGCTGCATCTAAAAAGCGTTCCTCCTCTATAGATAGGCTTGTTGAGCGATCACTAAACATGTATGCTGGTCCTCGATTCGCTAACCTTCTCCCTTTCTCACGGAGAACTGTCTGCCGCCGGTGAGTCAGTCTGTTGTCAGATCCCCGGCTGCAATAAAATAGAAAGATTGTAAACAAATCATATTAAGAGCATTTTAGTGTGCCAAATGACCTGCCATTCATCTAATACAATCCTCAAGTATATTAGATGTTGTCTCATCATCTCTAGACATATTATATTAAAAAATGAAGATGCATTTATTTATTAATGGATTCCAAGAACTTCACGTCTAAGAAAGCCAAGCACTTTGCAGATTTTAACATTCCAGTTTGAGGTGGAGACTAGCAATTGCCATAATCACTCTGTGCCATTCAAATAGAAACTAATGTACATTTTTCAAATATAGATGGTATAGACTTAGGAAAGATGGACTCTCTTATCCATAATCAGTCACCAATGTGATAGAGAATGTAAGATTAATTTTTAAAAAGTAGAGACAATAGAAAATCCATTCAAGTTAACAAATATTTATTGAGTGCCTCTGATGCCAAGTCCAGGAACTATATTAGGTCCAAGAAAACCAACATATATATACACACACACACACACACACACATACATATATATACACACACACACATATATATATATATATA